GGCTGGCTGGTTTTTTTAAAAAAAAGAGTGAAACTGTCATTAAAGGATACTGGTGAACAAGAGGCATTTTTACCTTGGTTAATGTAGATCCTTTTTTTTCATACCATGTATTTATGTTGATAAAACATAATAATAATATGTATACTGTTCCTCTCAAATGAAATGTCAGCAGCCACTGCTAATAGAATGCAGGCTGGTCACTAATAAAAAACATTTTTAATTTGCCTTTTACAGACAAGATTCATATGTCAGGTCATAAAGACTGACACGTGAACCCTATAGGCCTTTAGAGATCTCTTGGAACACAGTCATGCCTGTGTTCATCACAGATGGCATTTACTCCTGAAAGGGTTAATTCCAGCATGAAATCAGATAACCATTCTAAGTCGCATCAAAATTCATCTGGGTATCAAAATACAAGTCTTCATTGATGCACTGAATCCAGGCAACATCAGTTTGCCTATTTTTAAAAGCTTTATTTATCTACATTGCTTCTATGTTCCACATGCATAAAAACACTACACAGTAGTTAAAAACAGGTAACTTTTAAAGAAGTGACAAGCACATTAGGTTATACTTAAATCAAACTTACAGCTATGAAAAACTGTAGACACAAACACTTAAACAGAAATACATTCTTGCAACTTGTGAAAAATTGCAAGTGTGGCTGCCATCCAAAATTCTTACAACTATAAGAAGCTGCAAATAAAAGTACATTCAAAAACAAAACTTAGCCGTGGGCAGAGCTTAAATCATGTTACAATCACATTTCAAAATCGTAGTAGTATGCATTCTAAAAATGCAGGAGCTTATAGTCTTAAAAGACACATTCAAAGAGTAGAGAATATAGCTTTTAAAATATCAAATTTCTTAAAAGTAATTATAAAGTAAAATATATTTTTTGTCTTTATGCATATTAGGAGGACAGACACAGCAAATTATTAAACACAGTAATGTTCTCACATAGCCAAGCCAGCGATGTACTGTACCAGTTTGTATCTATGGTGGGAAATCCATGATGTTTTGTTGCTGTCTTCTGGAAATGCAGTCTTCTGCTGTGCTGCTACATGTTTGTAGCTCTTTGATGTCTGGTGCCTAGTATCTGTGTTGTTGGTATCTGGTGTTGTGTGGCCTGTGTAATATGTATCTCTTGCCTCTCTATATTTCTCTCAGTCATTTACATTACTCTTCAACTATAAACAACTGAATTTTGTTGGTGTAATCAATTACTGATCTCTATAAATGTAGAAAATATTTAATGGAAATCTCTATTGCTATTACTGTGGGAATAGCTAACTAGTCCCATAGAAATTTACTTGGGTGTGGTTTTGCTGGATAGGCAAAATGCCACTGAGTGTAAAGTGCTGGTGAATAAAATTTGTCAGGTATCAATTTGCTCTATGAGCATATTAGGACTCCAGCAGCCCCCCCTCTCTCTGGTGTTTCCTTATCATTTGTTTACATATTCATTTGTCAGTCATGAAAAATTATTTTGCAAGCCAATGTTATTGTACATTGACCTTGCTTTCAGGCTGGATGGAGCTCTAGCTAATGACTTTTGTCACACAGCTGTTCAAACGTCATTTTTAAAGCACAGTGTGCAAGGTCAACATGGCATTTTTACAGTCCTCTTAATTATTTTAACTCTATACATTCAAAATATCAAACTTTGACACATCCAGATCAGAGTCCAACATATGGACCTCTAAGCACTAAGTACTGATCCATCACGTCAACTTACCCATTTCATAACTGGTGCCCAGAAAAACACTGTTTTGGGACCTGTAAGAGAATACTTTATTTAGTTGTGTGACTCAAATGACACATAATGAACTAGAACTACACATTATAGACCTGCAAGCCAAAAAAGAAAAAAAGAAAGAAAGAAAGAAACTAAGTATCTTTACAACAAAAAGGGAAAACTAAACATGTTGGTCTGTTTCAGCAACAACTAAATACAGCAGCATCTTTAAGACAAACAAATTTGTTTCAGAGTGAACCTATGCAGATAAAATCCACATCTTCAAAGATAGTTTTGAAGATACCACTGCACTACTTTTTTTGTTTTGTTATTGCTGAAATAGACCAACATGTCTAAATCTCTGAAACAGGACTGCTTGTATTATTTTGTGTACAATCTCCTGTACAAGTTGCACAAAGCTACTGTATTATTGTGCAAAACAGCAAATAGCTTGGGTGTACTAGCTAGACATAAGTTAGTAAAAAAATGAAAAAAGAAAATTAATAGTTGTGCCTTGCACTATATAAGTTAGAAGTTATGAAAGGAACTTACTAATCATAAGATAGGAAAAGGTAAAGGTCTCCCTTGACGTTTAGTCCAGTCATGTCTGACTCTAGAGGGCAGTGCTCATCCCTGTTTCCAAGCCATAGAGCCAGCATTTTGTCCATAGACAGTTTCCGTGGTCATGTGGCCAGCACAACTAGATGCGGAACGCTGTTTATTTATCTACTTGCATTTTTATATGCTTTCAAACTGCTAGGTTGGCAGGAGCTGGGACAAGTGACGGAAGCTCACTCCGTTGCGTGGATTCGATCTCATGACTGCTGGTCTTCTGACCTTGCAGCACAGAGGCTTCTACGGTTTAACCCACAGCGACACCACATCCCTTCATGAGATACATCCCAATATCTGAGAAGAGGAATTGGATTTATGACAAACATACTTTTCCCAAGATGAAAGGAGCAAATTAAGATGATGTTCACACCACACATAGAGAATGATCTTCTGCCCTGACACGGTGGATTTGCTCTGACCTGAATGTACCTAGCATTGGAAATGGTATGGAACCTGGGGAACAAAGGAGGAAATCCAAAGCTATGTGAGCATTCTTCTCCTCTCCCAGGCAGCTGTGCCACATTCCATGTCTGGAGAAGGTCACAGCAACTGTAACAGTGGTAGAGAATCTGCTGAACGAACGCCCCAGTTATCACTAGTTGTTACAGTAGAATATACAATATAGATTCACAGCTGCTTTTATCTGACTTTGCAGCAGCTTTTGCAGTCACAGAATGGTCCATTATTAATTATGTGCAACAACTGTTCGCTGAAATCTTGTTGCACAAACTATGCCTGAGGAAAGATTAGGATGTTACTGGCAGAAGGCTATTTTCAATAATTAAAAACTTCCAAATTCTGTCCTGCACTTTTCAAACTCCTGTTTAATCCCTTTGATCACAGGGAAACTGATAGCAACTTGGGATGCAAAGGAGTAAGTATTTAATTACTACAAATCTCCCCCTGCTAGTAACATCCTCCAGAAGCAGTGATTTTTAGTAATTGACACCTTCCGTCTCCCATCCTGTGGCTTCTACAGTTTCCATGCAATGATTACATGGGAGTTGGAAAAGCCACAGGACAGAAGTTAGGAAGTTTTTAATTACCAAGAGTTGCCCCCTGCCAGTGACATCATACCATCACACTGGTTTAAGTTATGTAACAGGACTACAGTCTTTAAATTATTTTAAAAGCATTTCATGTGAAATCTGACAAAGTTTAGCACACATCATGACTGCACTCTTCCAAAGTTAAATTGCATATTCTCTTGATACCACCTGAAGAATTTGGCCATTAAGCAAATGATTTTGCTTATAGAACAAAGATGAGATATATTTACTATGAAAGGACACTGTTACAAATACTTACAGGTATAAATGAAAGAAACCTAGAACACAATACAGTAGTCTCTTTGAGGTAATGGCAGAACTCTCTATTTTCAAAATACAGTACTCCGTTCCAGAGGTTAATCCAAGGGACTGAAGAGTATTTTGCAATACACTGGGAACCAATAATTGATGGTCAGGTTCTCTAAGAGTTGGTGGCATCTAACACTAAGTTTTACACTTTATAACAGGACACTACATATAAAACCTAAAGATAGGCAATACATGTGTGATCAGTAAATAAAAAAATACCTTGACAAAGACAGGAAAGGCACAGTGGATTTCACAAACTGCAGAGGACTTGTAAAACAGGTACTACAATAACCAGTTACTAAATAAGTTGCAAAATAACATTTGCAGCTGAAACTATCAGCAGCAACTATGTACCCCTTCTGAATTTTGCACTGTAGGAAAAAACCACAGGAGTCTTGTAATCGATGAGACTTCCTACTTTTTGGGAAAGGATCAAGGCATAACTTTGTCTTTAGATAGATAGATAGATTAGGTAGATAAACAGATAGTAGATACACACACACTTTTACTCCATAAACATTAGGATATAACAACTTACTTGGAGTTCATTATCCATATCCAAAATAATAAAATTGACTCCTGACATGAATTTATTAAATAAGGCAACAGTGTGTGTGTGTGTGTGTGTGTGTGTGTGTGTGTACGTGTGTGTGTGTACACACTCACCAATCAGATCTCTGGCAGCTACATGTGTAGGTCAAGATTTTAGTATCAGAGACTCTCAAATATTTTAAAGATTTTTTTAAAAAAACCTTAAATATACAGATACAACAAAAATTGAATGTTTTCATTACAGCAAGCAACATACTTGATTGTTCGCAAGTAGTAAACATCTGTAACTTTCCGGTCTATCCGAGCCTAATTTATTTGCTTTGTCTTCTAATTTAAAGAGCTAAAATTTTTAGAAACTCTGATTGTCTGTTTCATTAATGTTGTCTATAAAGGCAATATTATATCTTTCTGGAGAAGTGTTCTGCTCTAAACATTGAGTAATCATCTTGCATACTAAAATTTATATCTTAATACTTACGTTTTCCATATAACTGCTTTGTTTTACTGGAGGAAATGAGATGAATTTAGCTGAGTTAAGTACTTTTACATGCATGAGTAGTAGTAGAACAAAGGAAATCTAAATTCTCTATGATGGAAGTGTAAAGCTCAAGGACGTTTCAGTATGTTTGAGCAAAGATTGCTTGCAATCTCCAGAAATGTAATAGAAGAACGATTTGTAATTACTATATCCAAATTGTTCTTGAATGAAGCTGTGCAAGATAAAGAAATGTTGTGAAGTCATAGAATCATACAGTAGAATTGTAGAAAAACTGAGTTGGAAGGGGCCTGCAAGGCCATCAAGTCCAACCCCCTGGTCAATGCAGGAATCCAAATCAAAGCAGATCTGATAGATGGTGGTCCAGTTTTTCTCTTGAATGGCTTACATGCTAGAGTACTACGCATCACCTCCTGAGGTAATTGGGTCCATTGTCATACTACTCTAACAGTTAAGACATTTTTCCTGATATTCAGCCTAAATGTAGATAGCTGTAGCCTGAGCCCATTATTACATGTCCTGCACTCTGGGGTGACAGAGGACAAATCCTGCCCCTCTTCTGTATGATTACCTTTCAAGTATTTGAAGAGTGCTATCATATCTCCATTCTGTCTTCTTTTCTCAAGGCTAAACATGCCTACTTATTTCAGTCTTTCCTTACAGGGCTTAGTTTCCAGTCCCCAGATCATTCTTATTGCTCTCCTCTGAACTTGTTCCAGTGGTCATTGTAGATCAGGGATAGGCATACTTCAGTGTTCTGTGATTTACTTTTTAACTAAATCTCCAAGGTCCACCAACCAGAGCCAGTTGTAAAATGTAGGTTGATGTAAATGAAAAAAGCATACCTGGTCATAAGTTTGGCCTAGAAACATATTTTTAGTAGGTGAAGTGGAGTTGGCATGCTTTCTTTCACACACAAATCTACTGCTGTTCCCCACAACCAAAGCTGTCCTCATTCCAGCCTAATTTATGATGGGAATGGTGCTTTTTGTTACCACTGAGAGCCAGAAGCTCATGCTGATATACTATAAATAAACCAGAAATTTATCAGTACTTTCTGCCTGTTCTGATGTATGTAAATCTACATGCTGCTTTCAACAACTAAAGGATTACTCTCCCAACAGTATTATAAAGGCTTTCTGAATGTATTTGCTGTAAGTATAGACATATTTTGCAAGACAGAGGCTCAATTATTCTTGGTGTGTTTGGGAAATTCTAAAGAGCTTTCTATTGAAAGCTACACAAAGAACAAAAAGAAAACATCAAGTTAGGTCTTTCTGATGCCAACACCAAACTTCCACTGCATGGCAACAATTACAATTCAGGGAGCTGGCCACTTGACAGAGCTTTCACAGACTGAAGCATGGAACAGACAACTAGAATAGGAAATGGAGTTGTTAATTAGCACTTCAGATACCAGAAGTAAAAAGATAGGCTCCAAATACTGCAGCTTATGTTCAAGGAAAACATCCCTTATCAAATTAGGGCATCAAACTGACCTGTTCTAAGGTCAGAATTTGTGTATGTAATGTAGGATGTCTGAGCTTTCAACATCAGTTAATACTCAGATGCTAAATTCAACAGCATAAAATTTTGCTCAGAAAACCTTCTTTCATAAGACATTGAATATCTATACACATGTGAAATACTGTATCAGATTTTCTCAGAATCATTCACATGTGTGCTTCACATACTGTACATTATTTCAATGATTCTCAGAAAATCTGGTGACTAGGCTAGTATTGCATCCATAGTTAATAAATAAATAAAACTGTCATCAAGACAATTCTGAATTCTGGCAATCCTTTTCAGGGTGCTCTAGGTAGAGAGTACTCAGGAGCGTTTTACCATATCCTTCTTCTGGGGGAATTCTGGGACTGTGCAGGTTGCCCAAGGCCATGTAAGCTGGCTGTTCTGGAATGCACAGTAGGGAACTGAACACCCAACCTCCATAGTGAAACATACATTATTTCAATGATTCTCAGAAAATCTGGTGTGTTAGGTTAGTAAAGAGTAAAGAGTAAAGCACAGCAGTCTGTAGCAAAGAGTTTGCCCAAGGCTACCTACAGAGTTCATAACAAGCTTTAAGCAATTCATTTCCTGATTTAAATGACAGATGATACCATGCTGAAGCCATTGGACGCTGTTTTTCACAATGATGCATACTTGAAATTAATGTCACAACTTGCATTTCTTTTTTTAAAATGAGAACGACAAAATTTGTATCAATAAGTTGGCAGATGTACAGTGGGAGAAGAAAACAGTAGTAACATTTTGTAGCCCTTTAAAGACTTACAGATTTACGTATTTCAGAAGATTTCTTTCACCGTGACCTTTCATGGATCAAAATCCACTTTCTCAGATACACAAGTGCAAATATGTCACCCATGTATTTACATGTCTGAAAAAGACTTTGAACCACAAAAACTTGTACTGGAAATAAATCTGTTTGTCTTTAAAGTATTGCAGTATTTAGCCTTTATCCTTCTCTTTCATTCCTTTATTTTTGCCAATATGTTGAGACAGACTAACAAAGCTATTTCCTTGAAAAATACTGTCTCAGATATCAATTAATACAGTATTTGCGCTCACACTGCCCTGACTGTTGTTTAAATCCTGAAGGCACCATTTTATATGTATTCATTGTATAAGGCTTTTTCTTACGAAACATGTCTGACACCAGGCCTTTTGATTCACTTACATTTCTTTCCATGACCTACACTATTTGTCATCTATATGATCCAGGCATAATGCATTTTTATACTTATTATATCTCCCAATAAAAGTGATTTTTCCTGGCAGCAGAAACAGAAGCAACAGCTTACATTTTGCACATAGTATAAAAGCAAAATGATTCTTACAATACTGTAACTACCTTTATCACTCAAACACCTTAACACCCAGTTTGCACCAGAGAAACTGCCAAACGTATTTGTTCTTATTCCTTTTCTCTTTATACAGCCCAGCCATGAACTTTCTCAAAAGTTTGCACAGTGGAAAGATACAGACACTAAGAAATCTAGAGTCAGATAAAGAAGAAAGATAAACAGTTTTAGAATGGATTATAGCTACAGATAAGAGATTAGGAACAGTTTCCCCTTTTCCACTGTGAGTAAATCCAAAGGAAAACTGTGGTTAACAAAAGCATGAAAAGTCCTATGCTAGGTCAGATCAAAGCATTTAGTTCAGTGTTCTGTTCACACAATGGTCAACTAGAATACTAGCTGGCTTTGGGGAACCCCCAAAAAGGCATGGGCACAACAGCATTATTCTACCTGTGTTTCTCAGCAACTAATGTTTAGTTATATATTACCTCTAATAATGCAAATTATATACATAGCCATCATGACTTGCAGTAATTGATGGCTCTTGCTTCCATGAATTTATCTAATCTCTTTTTAAAGCCATTCAAACTGGAAACCAATGTTACAATTTGTGGAAGAGTACTCCATAGCAGTGGTTCTTAACCTTTTCATGACCACAGACCCCCTTAAAATATATTTTGTTGCTGCAGACCACCAAGACTTAATTCAAGATTAAAGTTTCTCATGGGGGGTCTTCAAATTTGGAGATGAGAAATAAGTTAATCTGTTAATGCACACACTCCTTTTGTAATATTTTTATTGAAATGATTCCATTCAAATTTATAATCATCATCATCCTTAATTCTTGCTGGAGAAACTAAAATTACAAGCAGATATAAATCATTAATATGACACACTTATAAAAAACTCACATGAAAATGAAAGCTAGAAAATGATATGAATATAATTTGTACAAAATTGTACCTCATTAAACACAAGTTGGGCGAGAGGGAAAGGGAACATGTTATATTAATATAATTAATGAAAAGGCTGGTGCTGCATTCCACTTACAAGCCCTGCTTTATTGAGCTTAATAGCTGTAACTTGTATTCTGAGTTCTGTATGTTTTTCAAATGGCTTCTATACTTATTTTTAAGGTAAACAAGAGCAGAGAATGATTTTTTTTTGCACAAGTATGTTGTTACAAAAGGCAGTAATACTTTCATAGCCCTCTTCAATAGTTCTGGAAAATCTGCTTCTGGGGGGGGGGCACAGAAATTTGGAAGAGTCTGTTCCCTGAACTGCATTTCAGAGCACCATCCATGGAAATTTCTATGAGCTTGCCTTCCTCTGCTGCTGTGAGTCCATACAAATTAAGTGGAAAATGGATCTCTAATCCATTTTTTCCTTGCATCAGAAATAGGAAAATATTCATGGAAAGTATGCTGCAAATCTTCCAAATGATGCAGTAAGTGATGTGTTCTCAGACAACTCATCAGTGGATCCAATAAATTTTTGATGTTTGGAATTGTCTCATATTTTCAGTTTGAAAGGCAATGATGCCACAATTCCAACTTTTTGATAATTGCTTTGATCTTGTATTCAACTTGAAAAATGGTAACCTCGTTGAAGATTTAAGTGAGCATATTTAAATGGATGAAGATATCTGACAGATATACTAATTTGACTAACCAAGAAAAAAATCTGTCAACCAATCATTGAGGTGAAATTGCTTCTCCAAGAGGAAAAATCTTATCTCTTCTCTCAATGCCCAAAAAACATTACCTCATGATAGCCAACAAACTTCACAGTGTAGCAAAAGTTGGTGGTGTTCACTGTTCGTATCTTTGCAAAGCTGTTCAAAGTCTTGAATTCAATTATTTGCTTTTTATAAAGTTAACAACTTTGATTGATTCATTTAAGATCTGTTTTAGTTTTTTCTAATATATTCTTAGCAACTAGACCTTCCCTATATATGCAGCAATAGTACCAAGTCACCAACAGTATGATTTCTTAATCTGTGCAACAAGTTCAGTAAGTTTTCCAGACACTGTTCATTTCCCATCTATGCTAATTCCATTGCATTTCAACCAATTAATGTCATGAGATATTATAAACTTTTAAAGCTGTTAAATATTTCTTCAGCTGTACTGTGTACAAATGAGAAAAAAACATTTTTTTCTCATGCTCATACCTAACATAGCACAGTAAAGTCACTCTGTTATAGCTGTGGTTTTGTCCAATTATATTGCAAAGCAGGGGGACATGCAAATTCTTTCTAATAACTATTCCTTGATATTAGCTGACAAACCATCAATTTGCTTCTTAACTGTGTCATTTGATGAAGGTATAAAGGAAAGGTCCTTGGCAGGTTTCTCGTTGATAAATGCAGGAAACCATGATTTTTGCAGCAGGCAATATACATTCTTCACCTATTGTATACAGTTTTCTGTTTTTTGCTATTTGTTAAGAAACTCCAAATGAGGTCCTCAAATATCTAGACTATTTTTTAAACCCACAAAAGCACAATTGTTTATGTTATGTACCTAAACATCAAGAAACAGTAAAATCTTAGAACTGTCAAGGTAAAAAGATTAAGGCACATTTTACTGAAAAAAATCCTGAAGCAAGTAGTTGCATAAGGGATGCTTCTAAGCAAGATGATATACTGGGGGGTGGGAGGACAAAAATCACCTCCAGCAGGTAACACTTTTCCTTAAAACATGACAAGGAAAAGGAGCAATCAGATTTCTTTAACCCTTTAGGGCATGACAAACATGTCAACATTGACTTTAGGCCTAGAAATGGCTTAAAGTGCATATTTTCAAGACAGATGCCCTTTCAAAGAACTAGTGTAGCATGACCAAAATAACATTGCTTCACAAGAATATCTTCTAAAAACAGAAAGTAATTGCAAGTCTGACTCATACTACATAAGAAAGCCTTGATTTTAAAACAGCTATGTAAAAAACAAAAACAAAAAATCAATATATGTAGTTTGACAATTCTTCTTTCCTGGTCTACACTAGATGACAATTCCATATACGTACTGTACAATTCCATTTTCCTATCTGGCCATCTTCGTTCTCTTCTCATTTCTAGAAATGGAGATAAAAATCTATTTCCCCAAAAGAATCTGTTTAGTGATGAGAGCAAAAGCCTTGGAAAACAGCCTTTCTGTTATTCAGGCTATACAAGAAAACAGAAAATGGGATTGTGCCTCTCATTCCATCCAAACCCTTTAACTGCACAAGTTTGTCTCCACTGGAAGAAAAGGAGAGGGCTGATGAGATTCTAGAGGCACCCATTTTACCATCTCTGATCTGTAAGTACGTTTATTACTGTATCTTTACAACCTTTTGCTTTGTTAAAGACTTCCAAGTGGCATACATAGCTCCTGTTCTTCCACATTTTATTCTCGCAACCACCTTGTGAGAGTGATTAGGAGACACCCATTGAGCCCAAGGTCACACCACGAACTCTGTGGATGAGTTTGAATTCCAGTATACCCATTAATAGTAATTCTAAACAATATATCACACCGGGTCGCTTTCCATGCCTTGGAAAATTTTCCAAGAATGGCAGTGAAAAGGAAAGGGATAATCAGACACAGCAAAGTTGAGGCTTGTTCTCTGCCCCCATGATGCGATGTGATAACCCCTGTACCTGACCCTATGCTCTCTTCTGGTGACCAGGAGGTATCTCCGAGGATACAGCTCGATGGCCGGGACGCCAGCCTTTCTTTTCACACATATCTACGCTCACGGGTTGTCTCCAACGAGCAAACGTTTCCCATTTCCACCTTCCTTCCAATACCTGCTGGGTGGTTGTACAAAGGGCGCAGCCGGGGCGGCAATAAAAGCTCGATCCGGTCCAAGAAGCGATGATAAGAGGCCCGGAAGCCCGCAGTTGCAGCGCCCGCCATCCTGATGTGCGGTGACAGCGGCGGCGGGAGCGAGTAGGACAAGGTCTCCCTCTGCGACCCGCTGCCCTTCTCTTTCACACAGACTGAGCAGAATAAACCGACCTACTCCGAAAAATATAAGCCAGTGCTATGACGATTCCCCTTTGCAACGTTTTGATTTGCTCGCCGACGGAGCAAGGGGCGGGGCTTAACTGCCGGGCTTCGCGCTATTGGACACTTAGAGGGGCGTCCATTACCGGCTTACCACAGAGCGTTAATGACATTTTTATGGTCAGTTTGGTGTCCCTTTTTTATGACGATAGAGAGGTGGGCGACGGTCGATGACGACTGAAACTCTTGTTTTCGTTAACGGAGAACTGGCTGTCAAAATGAACATGCCCGCTTAGCAGCTTTCTATAAGCTTTTTCATAATGTTTAGTGACACCTTTGGACTGTCAGCATACAGGAGGCTTGAAGAAAAGAATAGCCAGGTTTTCCTCACTATACAAAAGGTGTGCCCTATTCCCAGGTAGCTGAGCGACTGTTCCCTCATGCGGTGCCCAAAGCCCCATACCAGGACGGCAACCGCTCGTGGCGGCCATTGCTGAAACTGCGAGAAAGAGACGCGAAGGGCTGCGTGAGCTCTCGCGACATTCTTCGTGAATTGCGCCATGGCCGGAGGAGGAGTGAAGGAGCAGCGGCGGCAGCAGCAGGAGCAGGAGGAGGAGCCTAGGCAGCTGTCTGACAGGGGCGATATTGCTGTTGAGTAGTGCTGGTAGCTAGGCGCGCGCAGAGCGCGCACGTGGGTCTCCATGGTGAAGGCGGGGGAGGGGGTGACAGCGGCCTCGGCCTCAGTAATTGGCAGCGACTGATGTCGCGGGCAGTGGAGGCGACGGGTGCGATCCTCCTGGTCTGCGCTCGGTGCCATGTCCCGGAGCTGCTGCACCCACCTCCTGTGGGATGTGAGGAAGCGGAGTTTGGGGCTGGAAGAGCCCGGCCTGCTACGGAGAAGATACCTAGGTGAGGAAGGAGAAAGGGTGCGGTCTGAGGAGGCGCTGGGAGTGGGAGGTGGTGGTGGTGGTAGAACACCGCGGCAGTCCGTGTGTCCCCCTTCCCTCCCCCCCTCCTCCGATCCTCGCTCCCGTCCTTCTTCCGCGCCCCGTGGCCGCCCGGTCCTTCCCGGACAGCGATCGAGGGCGGGGTTCAGCGGCCCCGGTGTGGGACTGGCTTGTCCGCTGCGAGTCCCGTTCTCGGGTCAGCGCCACGGGCTTGGGGAATGAACGAGGGGAGCGGCGGCTGCTTCTCTACGCCGTTCGGGGGGTGGGTGGGGGAAGCCGCCGAGGAATCGCGATCCGACCCACCTACACGCGCGGGCACACGCACATTATTGTCTCTTCCAGGGAATCCTGCCTTCTCAGGATGTGCCCAAAGCAGGACATTCCCTTTAAAAACGAAATGGGCACAACCTGTTCCGGAGAATTTCTAAAAATACTTCGCTCGCAGTTTGAACACACACCCCCCCAAAAATCGGGTACTTTCCTTAACGCGGATCATTTGCGAAGATAAATTGATAGTGCCTTTATCTTCTCCCCTCCACCGGCGCAGATCATTGCACTTGTCAGTTGAACCAAATAGGGGTTGTAGGGTTTTCTCCCCAAGAGGCCTGCAGGAAGAAATCGGAAGGGGAAAGTACTAACAACACTTAGTGTTTCCACCTGCTTTTGCCCGGAACTAAACAGGCTCAGGATTTACAGTACTTAGGTTTTGATAGCATTTGACTCGGACAATGTGTGGCTTTAGGGTTTTTCTTCTACTGCTTTGCATGAGAAATGTAATACAAATCACTTGTAGATTTATAGAAAGATTTTGTCCATAGTGTGCACTTATAGTAAGTTATTTTTCCAATGTTTTCTAAATGAATTCGTGTATCTGCACTTTACCTTTTACAGCACTTTATCTTCTAATTGATTTTGATTCAGAGACATAAATGTTATTTGGATCGCAAACTTTGCTTTTATTATTCTATTTTGTATGTGTGTTTTATATGGAAAGACTTCAGACAGTTCTTTAGAATTTTCCTATGAATGTGCTGAGGCAATTAGAATTTAGCTGAAATTTTATTGGAAATTTTCAGTATTCTATAGTAAAAGCAAATGGAAGACTTGCATTTACATGATGTTTATCCAGGCATATTCGATTCCTGTTGACCTTGTCGAATATGACTGATATAGATGGAAACTAGCAGCCTAATCTAAACTAGCATTCCACTATTTGACCACAGTCACAGGCTTTTCTTATACTCATTGTCACTGGGAACTAATTACCTAGTGATATTACAAGATGATATAAACAGCTTAGTAAATAGTTTTTTCTTTTCTTTCTTGTAGACATACAGTTTATGCAGAAATAGCTTGATCCTAAGCTCATCGACATAGCTGTGGGGTTAGCTGTATAGGATGCAGCTGGGCTACTGGTTGTAAATGCTTCAAAATTTGTAACAATGGTTGTGGAAAGCAGTTTTATTAAAAAGTAGAAGAGAAGGAAAAGTATCGCTTTGGGCCCTTTGTTGGGAGAAATGCATAATAATAATAATAATAATAATAATAATAATAATAATAATAATAATAATAATAATAATAATAATAATAATAATAATAATAATAATAATAATAATAATAATAATAATAATAATAATAATAATAATAATAATAATAATAATAATAATAATAATAATAATAATAATAATAATAATAATAATAATAATAATAATAATAATAATAATAATAATAATAATAATAATAATAATAATAATAATAATAATAATAATAATAATAATAATAATAATAATAATAATAATAATAATAATAATAATAATA